TTTTTTTTTCATCCAGATGTATAGCCATGAAATTGAGCTGGCTTGCCAAAAACAGACAGAGTTTGTGAAGAGCTCTGTGGCATGCAAATGGAATCTTGCTGAGGCTCAGCAGAAACTTGGTAGTTTAGCACTGCATAACTCTGAGTCCTTGGATCAGGAATATGCCAAAGCACAAACAGCAGTATCAGAACTGAGGCAGCGGGAGGAAGAATGGCGACAGAAAGAAGCAGCTCTAGTACAAAGAGAGAGGATGTGCCTCTGGAACATGGATGCCATTAGCAAGGATGTTTTTAATAAGGTATGATCTTTCATTGTTCTATATAAAAAGATACATATTTGTACATATTTGATGGCAAAGCAGCAGAATTCTGTAAGCAGTATTCAATGTTGACATAGTGCTTGTTATAGAAAACTGTACCCACAATAGGGTCTAATTTGGATGGTTCTTAGTACAAATATACGGCTGCAGTGTAGTGTGTGGCACACTGCAGCAGATTTGAGACAGATCTGAGCTTTGTTACATGATTTTATGACCTTGGTCAAGTCACCACCACTGAGCCTTGGTTTCTTCAACTGGGTAGGGTAGGTTTGAAGATTAAATAAGATAATGTCTTAAAAATGTGCTGGCATGGGGTCTGGTACATCAAGTTCAAATGTTACAGGACATTTCTGATGTTGCAGTGGTCTCATCTTGCTGTCATTTTTTGAAACATGCATGTTTAGTTATTAGATTTATTAAATAAAAGTCTTTACCATATGGATTTAGTAATCTAGCATAATCTAGACTTAATGTTACAAGCATTGGAAATGAAAGGACCTTCCAGAAATAATTTAGGTTCTTCTGCTCTTAAATAGTATAGTACTTTGTAAATTAGTAGTTTAAGAATAGTATTTTGTTTCACAAAAACATACAGGTTTTATTATTTTAGTTTTATAGCTGAAGGAAGGGGTTTAAAATGTATACTGAAGTCAGTATTTATTGCTTGAAGGGTATAGAAGAACTGCCCTTCACAATCTGGAGTTGTAGCAGTTTACATTGTGAAAACAATTTGATGCATTCCAAGCAGCATTTTTTTTTTTTTTTTTTTTAACTAGAAAATAGAAAAGATGAGAGTGTGTTCCACTTAAAGAGGTCAGCACTGTGTTGAAAAAAGCTTGTTTTGGATATGGATATGCATGTTAGGCTACAAAATGCAATGTGTTTCTTAAACTGTAACCAACAAGTTTGAAACTTCTTACTCTAAAGTTGCAGACTGAAAGGAGTTGTTGTTTTTGCATTGTTACAGATTAAACCAGGTCTAGGTTGTGCTAGGCGCGCCCTCTAACAACTGAGCTACCCTCTTAGCCGTCACAGGCAGGTTTAATTTAACCAGTCTCAAATATTTGTTTTATTCATGTGTACTGCTGTACAAACCTAAAAAAGCACTTACAAAATGCTTGTAAGAATTGAGAAATTTATCAGAATGAGAAAATACCTAAATCAAGGTTATAAAATCCCCCCACACACATCCCATATTTTGTACCCCATACTTCGATGATCAGTTTTAGAGTTTCTGTTATTCAACAACCTTGTTTTATAAATGAAGAAACTGAAAAGTAAAGTGACTTGATAACATAGCGATGGATTAAATCTGATTCTTTTATAATGTTTAGAATCAAAATATCCCTTAAAATATTTACTTTTAAATGGATAGCAAAACTCAGGATCATGGAGTTTTGTTTTGTTTTTTCCTGGTGACTTCCGGGTGCCTTAAGGGCAGGACTGGTGCAGCTTCTGGAGCTGGGAATCAAACCGCCATATTATGCACCTGACTGAATTTGCCCAAGCAGTGCTTTAAACAACTGAGCTGACTGGCAAAGCCCCCAGGATCATGTATGAGCCCAAGTATTCAAGTTTCTAAAGAGCCAAAAAATGAAAAGGAAAATAATGGCCTAAAACAGAGCCGTTGTATATCATAATTAATGTCCTCATTGGGTACAGAGTATAGTAAAAAATGTACTGCTTGGATTGCTGATTCTCATTCTACATTTCTCAACTGCCGAACTAAGGGTCAGAGATGTAACTCAGTGGCACCTGGCCTGCCTGGCAATTGTGAGGTTGTGAGTTTAATTCCTGGTACTGAAAAAGAGAAAAAGAAAAAACCTAGAACCAACTGCTCACTGATTGATTAGTATAATGTAGTAATGAAATTGCTTGGCTTTTTTTGCTTCTCTACAGTTCCTTTGAAAACATGCACTTTTAAACAAACTTACAGATCATACATTACTCTTGAGTTAGTCATCCTATAAATGACATTAACTAGAGGCAGTAAATATATTCCATAGTTAACCATATTTACCAACCAAGAAATAAAAACTAAAATTTCTAAGCTTTTATTGCATGTTAATGAACAAGTCTTTGTATATACTACAGTGTAAAATGTTTCATAATATTAAATAACTCTAAGTAGATTTAGTATGAAAAAGGGGTGAGGCACAGAGTGGCTAGTGCTCTGCAATCCACCAACAGGAGGAAGTTAAAAGATGGCACAGTCAAGGACAAAGAATGAAAAAAACAGAGCAGGCAAGGAATAAGGATAGGTATTCCAAAAATAATGACCATACTGACAGCTAAAAACAACAGGAAAATTTGCAGGCAGCTTCAAGATAGTATTTAAATTACTTAAATGCTGTACCTTTCTTAAATCTGAACTACGAAATTCATGGTTGAGACTGAAAGACTAGGTAAGGCAAAGAAAGTTACAAATGCCAACATAGTGGCACACACCTGTAACCCCAGCACTGGAGCCTGAGGGAAGAGAATGGCCCTGAGTTCCAGGCCAGCCTGAAAGATAGAGCAAGACTCTCTCTCGATGAAAACGAGAAGAAAGGTGTGAATATCCTCTATTAAGACTCTGTTTATAATGAAAATTATGTCCATTGTTAATGGGGATAATAGATACTAATAATGGACATCATTGGCCTGGCTGAGCTTTTAAAATCACGTTTTTTTTCCAAACTACTGAAAGCCCAGCATTCGTTTGCCATTTAAAAATAACTTCTAGAGATTGATTTTGAAATACATTAAAAGAGGGAGAAAAGCAAGACAATAAATTTATGAGCTAGTGTTTTTTTTTATGAGCTAGTGTTTTTAACATGGAATAAAATAATATGTATATTGAGGAATAGTAGCTATGTTAGTCCTTATTTTGGAAAGGCAATTACAACTAAGTCTACCAACACACTGATAGGTACACATATTTTTATTTTTTTCACTTTGTCAAAATGTCTAAGAAACAGTTGGCAGAGTGTATTTTGTATATTATGTATGGTTAGTGTTCCCTGCAAAGTGATGGTATTTACACAGAGAAAGACTGGCCTTCACATGTTACTATTTTCCTTAATAAACCAGGGACATACTACATAGAGTGATTATGGACCTTTTTTTAGCCTTTGTAGTATGGAAAGTTTCCAGATACATCAAGTAAACAGATAAGTCCCGTGTAGTACGTGCTGTCATCTTTCTGCCATTTTCATTCATTTATACTTTTCCCTTACTCCCAATATCTTTGCTTGCTTAATTTTAAAACTTATAGCTAACATTTTGAGATGTACAAACTTTACGTATAAATTCTAACAGATACACTTGTATAATATTCACTTAAGGTAATGTAATTTGAGATTTTAAAAGTGTTTTAAGTCTTCAGTTTGTAGCTTCGTGGGACAATGAAATCCAGTCATTTTCTACTAATTTATAAAAGCACACTTCTTTGTACTATACCAGACATAACCTTCAGGTTTGGGGAAGAAACTACTCATTCTTGTTAAGTCTGCATTCAGTATCATTAACCATTATTATTCAGAATTTTCATTCTATAGCTTACCAGTTTCTGCTCTCCTGTCATCCACTCCCACCTCCTTGAGTACTCTGAACCATGTCTGGTTTGGTTGTAGCAATCAGTAGCATGTGTATCACCACTGGCCCTATCGTATCAGTACCTTCTTTTTTGAGAAAAAAATTTAATAGTATAACATGCTTGTTTTAAAATAAATAAGTAAAATAGAAATTGAAAGGTCTCTTTACTTTTAGTTTCATTTCCCAAAGATAATATGTTTACAGTATCTTCCTAGACTTTCTCTGTACCTGTACTAATTCATGCACATTTTTCTCCCCCACAATAGGATCTTTCTCTAATTCCCTCTGTGTGTATATTGTTCTCAGTATATCTTAAGCATTACTTTATTTTGACTTTGCATTTATATCCCAAAATTATTTAAGATAATTTCTTCTTACGAGAGGAAATGGTCAAAGCAATGTTTATTTTGTAAAGTTAATGTCTGTTAGCACAGTGATCACAAAGAAAATGTTTTTAGTTTGTTCTTGCTTTAGTTTCTTTAAATTTAATTTCTAACAGCCTATAAATGAATTAGGACTATCTTTATATAATAATTTCCTCGCAGTTATATACTGGTTTTGTCTGGGAGCTTGAGACTTGCAAGGACTGTTCTAAATCTCTGAGGTACAACTCTGTGGCCACTGACACATGTGCTACAAAAATATAACTAACTCAAATTAAGATGTGCTGTAGGTGTAAAATACACACCAGTGCTGGTCTAAATGGCAGAATGTATGTAAAAGCAAAATACTTTTATTTTGAAATGTGTAAACTTTTATTGGTTCCTGATTATAAATGGCAGAAAGCTAGTTTGTACTTTTCATTTTGGCAATGATGATATCAGGGTATAAACTGATCACAGAATGTTCCAAGGAATTGTTTATCTAGCCAGCTCTGCTGGCTGTATAAAAACTATTATTGGTCTGTTTTATAACTTGTTTTAACTGGAAATAAGCACTTCTTTAATAGAAATTTGTGTTTGATTTTAAGAATCAAAGTGTTTAGCCTCTCTTGAGAAAATATAAGTGGAAATGCAACCTAGGTCTTACTTTATTTTATCTCTTCTGAAAGAATTGATAGTGGTATACTTTTTATATGCTTCGAACTTCTGAATTTATTTCCAGCATCAGATCTAAAAATTTGATTAGGGTTGCAAACATTTATAGAAATTGAATAATGCAGTTATAAATGATGCATGTAAATAGTCTATATAATAAAGCAGTTCTGCTTAACCAAAGGATTGTTTTTCCTGTATACTTTCTAATATAAATCTAAAAATTTCAATGTATATCATGTTTTAATCAAAGCTACTAAAATTCCTAAATAAGAAAAATTCCAGTTTTTTAATGAAGGGTTTAACAGTGATGTAATATAATCATACTGTATCACATCTATATTGCCTCTAGGCAGGACTGATAGGCACTCAGTATCTGAGAATGAAAATCGAATTAGAATAAAAAATCTTACTTTAATTTCTAAAATTTTCAGAGTTTTATTAATCAAGATAAAAGAAAAGAAACAGAAGATGAAGATAAGTCAAAATCATTCATGCAGAAACATGAGCAAAAAATCAGACATTTTGGTGCGTACTACTTGAATTTCCTTCTTTGTAATGTTTGATATTATATGTATTGGTGTAAAAAAAAATCATAAATTGGGAGCTCAAAAGAAGGTACAGGGCGCATTCCATGGTATAAGTTATTACTGATAGAGTTGTACAGATCTTGTATTAGACCTGTTTTGGGTAATAAAAAAATAGATTGAAAGAGAAGCAAAATTTAATCTATTAATACTAACCCTCTAAGTCAAGTCTTTCCACTTTTCAACTACTCTTTGCTTTTTTTCTTTTTCTTCTTTGCTTTCTTGATACCTCCTTATTTTGTGGATAAGAGATTAGCTGCTTTTTTTTTTTTTTTTTTTTAAGATTTGGATGTGATGCAGGTATTATGAGCAGGACCTTAAACTGTATTACTCTGTAGATATTGTAATAGAAGTGTATATGAAAAGAACTCAGACATTATTGTCTCTTGGGGGAAGCATGCCAAACAGGCTTCTCAGATTATTTTTGTGAGGAAAAGGTAGTTTTCCATGTAGACAAGGCAGTGGCAGTAGCGTGAAGACATGTAAAGTAAAAAAAAAAAAGTGTGATGTGTTCTAAGAATTATTAGCAATCTAAGACTGCCCAAGTGAAAATGCTACTGGGAAATGCTAGGAATTTGGGTTCAAAGCATATGTTTTTGATCCCCAGTAATGTGTTAGCTTGGTAAATATGATTGTTTATTTGAGACAGGGTGTTGATAATATAGTTCAGGCCAGCTTTGAACTCATTATGTAGCCCAGGTTTGCCTTAGATTTGCAGTGATCCTCCTGCCTCAGCCTTCTGAGTGCTGGGATGACAGGCGTGCACCACTATACCTGGCTATGTGATTTTTATTTGTACTGTGTTCATGAACATATTACTTGGCATTTGAAATCTTTTTCTTCTGGCTTTATCATAGAAAATAGAATTTCATGTATGCTTCTATTATCTAAAGATAGTAGATAGTACTTATAATTTTGCCCCTTCATGCAACTTCTCATAACATTCATATTTTCATACTTATTTAAAAAAAAATAAACTGTACATTTAATTCCAGAATAGTATCTGAAGAAACGAAGATGAACTTTACATTTCTATTGAGTATCATTGTGGTGTTCTTTATAATTAGAAAAAAATAAGTAAATAATCCTTTTGACAGATATTAAAATTTTTAAATAGAAGATTGAGTCAAAGATAAAAGGCAGTAATTCTGCAGATGATTTTTAGTTGTTTATGTGATTACCATTCCCACTTATAGCCCTTACTTCATAGGTTCATGTTCTGCTGTAGGAAAATACATGTACATCAGCTGGTGGTTCTTTCACAGCACATGATGTGTCTGGTAGGACAGCGTCCCGCAAGGTTTTTTCTCAGCTGGCATTCTCTTGGCAAGTTGCGTTGCACCCACAGAAATTAGAACAGAAACACCCTCACTTTTGTTGTGAACTGAGTTCTTTGGTCAAAAGCAATTTTGTGAGGGGAAAATATTCTAACCTCATAAGATGTTGTAATGCACCTGTACTCTTTAATAAACCTTTCATCATCCTGTAAAAACTGCTACTTCTGAGTAATAATGTTTATAAGAACAGTGAATTTCATGAGCCCATGGTTTTCATTTTCTTTTGCTGAAAAATGAGGTAAAAATAGTGAGGTTTGGTGAGTAATTCATGAAGACCACTGATAAATTACTGCTACAAACATAGTAAGAAAAGAGGGCAATTCCAGATATAGAATGGGTTTGTTCTCATAAGGAATTATTGATCCCTTCAATATGGAATGGGACAAGATACTCAGCCTGATTCTCAGCGGTTGGATAGCTTCGCCTATGTATGCTGCCATATTGAGGTTTTGGCATTGGTTTCTGCTACTAGCAAATTACATATTCATTGGCCTTACTGGATTGTGATATTAAAACATTTTTCATGAGGATAGTTCATTCTATTGAGTCTGCATAATCTCAAGCCTGTGCCACCATGACCCTTTAGTTTATGAAACTTATGGATTTAATGGGATAGCTGATGGACAGGCTGACATGATGTCCACAGGTGATTAATAAGCAATTGTTTTGCCCTTGCATATTGTGATCTTCTAGTACTTCATCTTGTAATACTAACCAGAGCCTTGCTGTGTTCAAACCCAACCAGACTTGATAGCCACTCCCAGATTCACATTGTGCCTGTTTCTTAGTGGAAATGCACATTGACTTTCCACTTTGGAGGAGATATCCTACTTGCTGCAGCACATTGGATCCACAGAAATTTTACTAAGGTAGTAGGCTCCCAAAATTTTCATGTGTTTTATTTTCCATTCTCTGGCATGCTATATCTTAACCAAGGCATCTGGGGTACTTGCCACTTCTTGTTCACCATGTTCTATCAGCAGAGTGGGTCACCTTATAGTCATGTGAGATGATGAGATCATCAGAATCTCCCATTGACTAAGTTATGGCACAGAGTGGATAGAGGACAGAGGCAAGTCAGTGAAAGTGAATGCTTCTGTGGTATATTTATACTTACTGTAGTAAGGGGAAAGTAGTATTTACCTTAATGATGACTATGCTATGGTCCTTTAAACACCTCTGGGATAACAGCTTTAATTAAATTTGGACTGGATTTCAAACTCTTGAAAGATAGTTGGAGTATGTGAGTGCTGTGCAGGGCTAGGGGCTTCCCTATGGTCTTATGTATACTTACATTCTTTAGGGTTCTTCCTAACTTTCCCTTATGCTGTTTATTGACTTAGCTTTCTTGTGTTGCTTTTACCCTTATAATTAGATGGAGTTTACTTTCTAATGGTAAATGGTACAGCTGTTTTGGTGGAATACTATGAAACATTGAAATTAATTTTTTCCTACATTTGCATTTATTAATATAGTTGATTTATACTTTATGAATACAGAATACTAATTTAGATACACAGCCTTCTTTCACCTAAAGTTCACAAAGCAGCTTTATTTGGTTATTTGCATCTGTAACATCACTTTGTGATCATTAGAGATGTTTTTTCATAGCACATCATTGTCCCTTATAGACATAGTTAGCTGTGATTCGGCATCTTTTGAAACTGTATGGTATGTTGTCACTGGAAATTTTATTAAAAGTTATACACATTTGCATAAAAACTTATTGATACAATCTTTTATTTGTACTGAAGATTAATATTTATAACCTCTTTTAATGCATATTGGTTTAAGAAATCATAATAGCCTATTTTTTAAAAGTATTTAATAGAAAGTACTCCTGACTAGAACATGAACTGAACTGAATAAGAAAGTAAGATTATGATATTTTATTTTTGTTTACATATCATTTAAAAATAAGCCTGAGAAGAAATACATTATTGTTAATAATAATTATCTCTTAGAGCTAGCCAAATAGCTCAGTGGACTAAAGTGCCTGCTTTGGCAGAGTGCAGTGGCCAGGGTTCGATTCCGGGTGTGCCATGCTGGCCCCATCCCTGGGGCATGTTGAGATGGGTGATTGAAACTGGGCTTGGTGGCGTGTGCCTGTAATCCCAGCACTAGGGAGGCTGAAAACAGGAGAATCACTACGAGTCTGATCTACGTAGTGAGATCCTGTAGACCTTATCCTAATCCTGTAGACCTTATCCTAAATGCAGAAAAAGAAAAAAAAAAGTTTATTGTTGTGACTTCATCATATTTACAGATTATAGTAACAGCCACTGAACTTGGTGATCAGTTTGATGTCAAGAATTTCTAGAGTACTTGATTGGGTAACATGGGAGCCAGTAAGCATGTAGAATGGAGAGAAGATAGATTTGATTTTCAAGTAAGATAAATTTATGTACAGGTATAGAAATAGAAATAGTTATCTGGTGGTAGATAATTGAGTTGAGAAAAGAAAATCTGGGACTCGAGAAATATTAAAATAAGTCATATGTCTTTACTCAAGGAATTTACAACCTAGTCAGGAGATTTTAAACATATATGAAATTAAGATGCATAATGTAGTTTAAGATGTTAAAATATATCATTCTGTAAGTATAATGTAGAAAGATAATCATATACACCCCATTTTTAGGAGTCAAATGCAGAAATTTTTTTTAAAATTTGATACAGGGTCTCTATGCAGTTCAGACTCATAGTTGTCCTCCTGACTCAGCCTCCCCTGTTGCTGGTAATAGAGGTGTAGACCACCATGCCTTGTTTTGGTGGCCAGTATGGTGTGCCCAGGGTTCCAGGGCTGGAATCCTGAGTCAGCATGAAACGCGGTACTGGGGATCGAACTCAGGACCTTGTCCTTGCCAGGCAGGTTCTTAGGCCACCTAGTTTTCTCCCCAGCTCTTCTGTTTTGTGTTTGAGACAGGTTCTCACTTTGCAGTTCAGGCTGGCCTTGAACTATGTACCTGAGTGTCTCAGTTACTTTTCTCTCATTTCTGAGACAAAATACCTGACACCTAAAATTAAGGAAAGGTTTATTTAGCTCACAGGTTTGTGGAGTTTTCAGTCCATACTCAGCTGGCTCTAAGGCAGAGTGGCACATGGCAGAGGGCAGCAGTTCCTGGAGGTGGAAAACAGCAAGAGTCAAAAGGGAGGAGCAGTGGCTGCAGCAACTAGCAAGCCTCTCTCCTTTCCTTGTGTTGTATTCAGGCTGTCCGCACTCATACCCATAATGCCAGCATTGGATCATAAATTAATCGTAAACTCTAGAAGCCTGCCCCAGTGACTGCTTGAGGCTTTGCAGGGACAACTAGACACAAACCAGAACACCCAGATTGGCCCTGGAACTTGTGGCACTTCTGCTGTCGCAGGCTCCTTGGTGCTGGAATTACAAGTGTGCATCATCACACTTAGCTCTCCAGTGTAGAATAGTGAGAGTTGATAAGTAAATGTAGATTGAGATGTTCACCAAGAAAATACATGGATTAAAGTAAATTAAATTTTAATTTGTCAAAGCAATATTTTTCAGAGAAAATGATGAGTACGTTTAAACTGGATTATCCTTACCCAGAGGATGAGCTTAACGAATAATTGTTAAATTAATAACTTATTCACTATTAGAGTAATTGCACTTATTTACTATGCGTCAGGCACTGTTCTAAGTGCATTGTATGAATTGGTATCATTTAATCACAAAAATTTTGTATTAGGTAATATTTGTAGTCCTCTTGTATACCTAAGGAAATTTGGCTCTGTGGTTTTCCTAGCCATTGTTGTTGCTCTCTTTGTCTACAAATTCCATACTGACATGAGTAATTTCAGGTATTTGCTGTTCCACTAAGCTTTTGGTCCTTTTAAGTACTTTTGTCTTAAAATCATATACCCTTTTCACAAAGGTGTGTAAGGATTACGTGTTAACTTTTCAGTTTCATACTAATTCAGTGTCTTATTTTTAAAATCAAGTGATATTTCTCAGATACAAAATACCTATGCTCAATCTCGTGTGAATTTTGTCTCTGCTATTACATAGGTAATGAAAAAATCTTTTACACCTTGGTCCCTGCGAGTGTTACTAACCCTTCTGTATTATCTTTCATGATAAAGAACCAACATGGATATGATTTTAGTAATCTTAGCATCATAGTGCAGTCATGGGGAAGTTGAAGGAGAAGTGATGCACACTATAGATGGTAGAGTTGGAAATATTACCTCTTCAGAAGTGCAAGAAAGTGAAGGCAAACCTGCTTCCTAGGACTTATTTTATGGCTTCACATATAAGAAATGATTATGCTTTCATTACCTTAGCTGTGATTTTAAGGAGTTATTAACTCTATCATAGTTCTAAGCAGCTTAATCATTCTGTTTCTCAGAATCTTAAATGACCTCATCATTGTGCCAAAATGCTGAGGAAATACTTTCATTACATCAAGGTGCTGGGGAATAACATTATGAAACTTAAAACTTTTTATATGAAAATAGTAAAATCTTTTATCCCTTTTCTTTGTAAGGATAAGTCAGTAATGTATTTTGAACCAATTGCTCTCTTGCTAACTGTGTTCTCAGTAAGACATTTCTCTTCAGTTTTATTGTGTTCTGATGTGAAATTTAATGTGTATACAGAAATTCACTTTAGGTCTAGAGGAAAAGATTACTGCCAAGTTATTGAAAAAGACCTATGGACATTTCTTTGTAACATCCAAACTTTTGTGGGTAAACCTGAAGATTCTAAAGCTACCAGTGTTGTAATACTGAGTTTATCAAGTATAAAGCTGACTAGACAAGGTTAAAGGTGTAAACTTGCCAGGTGTGGTGTTGCACATCTGGAGTCCCAGCCACTGGGAAGGCAGAGGCAGAAGGATCAGTTGAACTCATGAGTTCAGGCCTCAGCAACATAAAAAGAGACAATTTTTAAATGCAGCACTTTCTAAATTCCATGATTAATTTCATCATACTGACTTTGACCAGATTTCTTAGTAATTTTAAGATGTAGATATATCTTAAATAGTATTTGCTTTTGACATCTTGAAACAAAATGTCAGCATTTTCCAGTATGTTTAACTTAGATTTTAAAATTTTGTTTACTATGCATATAAACAGATGTGCACAAGTGTCTACCATTACTAAAATGGTTCCAGGTATATTTACTTTTATAACACTGACTTAATTTTCCTGTATTGGTGTCAACATTTTCCCATATCTGAAATAAAACTTTCTGTGAATTTTGGAAGCTATTTTCAGTCTACTGGATATTGCTTGAAAGAGCATTATCCCTTTTCATTTGCTCTTACCATAATATATTGTTTAGATAATATGAATTATATTTAAAGAGTCATTTTTAAGGTGCCTTTTCTTTCCTTACAGGAAACCAGAAAATATTTAACATTGTATGATTTCTTTTTTACAGGTATGTTGAGTCGATGGGATGACAGTCAGAGATTTTTGTCTGACCATCCATACCTCGTATGTGAAGAAACTGCTAAATATCTTATTTTATGGTGTTTTCACCTAGAAGCTGAACAGGTATTATGTGACTCTTGAGTTTCTGGCAGCCTTAGTGGAATTCTGATTTCTTACTTTAGTGGTATTTTGTTGGGTGTTTTTTGTTTTAAGTATTTAAATGAAAGCTGGAAGGTGAATAGAAATAGGAATTTTTGTTTTCAGACCTTACTGAGTTTAATGGGGAAATTTCTTCTAGTTGTTTGTTACCATATGGAAACTGTACTTTCTCTGCCAACTCCCAATTACTCTTGTTACCCTATACTTAATGACCCTTTTTCTTTTTTAAAAATTACAAAGTCATGTATTTAAAAACCAAATAGAATTTACAAATTGCAGGGGGTGTGTGTGTGTGTGTGTGTGTGTGTGTGTGTGTGTGTATGGTACTGGGGAAATTACAATATTAAATCAAGACAATTGCAATTTTTCTGGTCCTCATAAAAAAATGACCAAATACACTCTTTATATGTCCACATAGTATTTGACTTAAAATTAAATAAAGTAAAATCAAAGTACCTAAAAATTTAAAACTGAACTTGGTATATCAAATACATTTCTAAAGGTATTTCTTACAACTTGATTGGTTTTTACTTTCAGAAAGGGGCTCTAATGGAACAAATAGCACATCAAGCTGTTGTAATGCAGTTTATTATGGAGATGGCCAAAAATTGTAATGTGGATCCAAGAGGGTGTTTTCGTTTATTTTTCCAGAAAGCCAAAGTAAGTAGTTATTTGATATTATTAAAAGGGAAAGTTAGGCCTAAGATGTGATTTCTTTTTTTGTACACATTGTTATTTAATGGGACAGACTAAATTCTGTAGAATTTCTAATGTTGAGAAAATTTAGTTTTGCAAACTTCATGCAGAGACATAAAGAAGCTATAAAAGAGGCATATGTATGAAATTGAGACTGACTTGAATGAACGTGGAAAACTTCCTGCTAATGCAAAGCAAAACTGTTTCAAATAATGATATAATATTGAGCAAAGTTCAGTTACAGGATGTTCCATGCATAGAATTCATACTTTTAAGAAATCAAATTTCTATAATGAAAAAATAGAAAACATAAAAATTGAACACTTAGAGAAATAATTTGTAAAGTTCTGGGTTTTATTTTGATTTTTAGATGTTGTCTACAGACATGTATCTATGGAACATATTTTTAATATAAGGAAATGCTTATGCTCTAAGTTAGAAAAAAGTGATCATGTTTATATAAACAAGATAATGTTGGCCATGTTAAAGAAAAATAGATCTGTCTCAGAAGGTTACCATTTCACACTTAATATGTTACTATAACTTAATACTTGCTGAGGAGGTAACACAATAAGAGTTTGAATTCATTGCTAGTTGGTATATTGCAGAACAACCATTTTGAAAAACTTTATGGTAAATTTGACCAAGTGTGTATCTAACATGCAGAAATTCTTTTAGTCATATATTCTAGAAGAAAGGTTGTCATCATGTAATCCACCAAGCTCTAAGGTCCTTTAAGACTCTCTAAAGAGGCCTTCTGTCATATCTATATTCATAATTATACTATGATGTCATTTATTTTTATTTTCATCTTCTCATGGGTGAGCTACAGAAGTTGGTGCTGAAACAGATATGAACATCCATCTCTCTTATGTTAAGTGCCACTATTCTCCCTATTCTTTTATTTTAGAAAACAGTTTTAATACTTTTTTTTCTTTTTTTTTTAAGACATAGTCTGTCCATATTGTCTCTCAATTTCCTGGGCTCAGATGACCTCCCTTTTCAGTCTCCTGAGTACCTGGGACTACAGCCACATCCACACAGCATCATGCCTCGCCTTAGAAAATGTAATTGTTTTAAAAAGAAAAGTAATTAATAGAAGTATGTAATGAGCTCATTTATTAATTACTTTAAAAATTAGTTTTAATTTCTAACAGTATATATCATCAGGTACAGCCTATATAAACATGTTCTTTATCTCCTTTATTCCCATAATAAAGTTGAATTTTACTTAGTTTTCATAGCACTTATAAATAAAAAATTTTAGGCCAGAGAAATAAGTAATAGTGCCCCCCCCCATTAATTTAAAACTTTTTTAAGAATATTTCTTGGTGGTTTGGCAGTAGTGAGAGGATAGAAATAATGTGAGAGGTTTAATCAAGTTTTGGGGCCGCCAAATAGCTCAGCAGATTAAAGCGCCTTGCAGGTGCAGGGGCCAGGGATTCAATCTCTGGGCCTGTAGTGCTGGCCCTGTCTCCAGGGCGCGCCTGTATTCCTAGCACCTGGAAGGCTGTAAACAGGAGAATCACTACGAGTCCAATCTAGTAGTGAAACCCTGAACACTCTGTAGACCTTTCCCTAAAATGCAGAAAAAAAGGTTTTTTTCTTTTGTTTTATTTTTAAGAGATAGAGGAGTAAAATGGATCCTACTGAAAGGTCCAAATAAAACAAGGGAAATACATGGAGTGATGGAAAAATATGATGAATATTTTTTAAAAATTTAGAATTTATTATAGGGGAAAACCTAGTTTTTTTAATGTTTAAAAAAACATTAATGAATGTTTTAAAAAATTAATTCCCCTCATAATAATTCCCTTCACTTCAAACACTACATCATTCATGCCACTTTTTTTTTTAATATATATTTTTAATCTTTATATGGCACAGGGTCTTACTAATGATCCTTGCGTCTCAGCCTCCCCAGCGCTGGGATTACCAGTGTGTGCTACCATGCCTGGGTTTCAGTGGCCAGCACGGTGCAGCATGGCATGCATTACTGGCGATCGAACCAGGGTTCTTGCACTTGCCAGACAGGCACTTAGACCATCAAGCTATCTCCCCAGCCCCTCATACCACTTTTTAAGTAGTTCTATAATCTTTATTTCTTGCTGCCTCAGTGTCCTGAATCAGTTCAGAATGTTTTCCTTTTATAGTCGCTTTGATTTGGGGCAAGAGCAAGAAGAAGCATGGTGCTAGACCACACACAGCAAGGTGGATGTGGACACACTGTAATGCTTCTACAACCTTTCCTTTCTGTTGGCTGTCACTGTAGTTTTGGATCACATCTCTTAAAAGACATGAAAGCGAGCTTCTAGTAGTGTTTCAGGAAGGGGCAAGAATGATGGGATAAATGGGCTTGCAGGAAGGCAGAGGACTATTGTGGGAGAGTTTTGAGGGAGATTTAACATGTTCATGATGAGGCCATAATTCATATGTCTCTGCTGGGTGGATCGAACCACCAGTTGTACATATATGACTGTCGTATGAGGCAGAATTTTATTAATTTTATTAGTAAAAAGACCAGTGAAAGTGATTAGGTCTGTTTGTACTGCCCAGTGGGATAGTCCTGCATATATCACCAATAGGTATAGCGAGCAGGAACATGTGTCTTTACTGCAATAAATTTTTAAAGTTTAAACATTCACCATATATTTTGATTATATGTTATGCAAAGGCTTGCTTTTTTTTATTATAGCTATGTGTGAATGTTTCTTTTTCTTTTCTTTCTTTTTTTTTTTTGTACTTTTAGGGAAGGATCTACAGGGTGTTCAGGGTTTCACTACTAGATGGGACTCGTAGTGATCTGCCTGTTTACAGCTTCCCAAGTGCTGGGATTACAGGCGCGTGCCACCCCACCCAGTCTCAATTGCCATGTCAGTGTGCCCCAGGGGCGGGCCTGGCAGGGTAGGCCCGGGGATTGAACCTTCAGCCCCTGTGCCAGCTTGCAGGTGCTTTAATCCACTGAGCTATTTGGCCAGCCCTCATGTGAATATTTCTTATTAGCTTGTTTTACTGTACTGAAGCAAAAAGAAATGGAATGAATCAATCATTATGTTCTTATAAATTAAGTAGTTTCATGAGCCTAATGGAGACCCTGGTGATTTCTGCATACATTTAAACTATTCACTTTGCCTTTACTTTACTTCCTCCATCTTTGTTACTTTAGAATTTAGTGTATGATCTAGAAGTCTTCAAAAGCAATCTTTTAGCTGGGCCCTGTGGCACATGCACATAGTCCCAGCTACTTAAGAGGCTGAGGCAGAAGGATTGCAAGCACCCTGGGCTACTTAACTGAGACCTCTTATAAAATTATAAAAAAGGATTGGGGATGTACCTCAGTGGTAGAGCACTAGCCTAGCTTCAGGCCTTGGCATGATCCCTAGTCGTACACACACTCGCACACCAGAATTCAAATAATACTCTTTGATTCTTTTTTTTTTATGTGTGTGTATTCTAGGCAGAGGAAGAAGGTTATTTTGAAGCATTCAAAAATGAACTTGAAGCTTTTAAGTCAAGAGTAAGACTTTATTCTCAGTCACAAAGTTTTCAACCTGTGACAGTTCAGAATCATGTCCCCCATTCTGCTGTTGGATCTATAGGTTTATTACAGTCCTTACCACAGGTAAGTTTGAAAAATAAGTACATATTTTATCAATTTTTTTCACCTACATTTTGTTGTTTTGGACTACTCATATGTCATGTGCTTGACCATTTAACATGTTCTTACCTCAAAAGATAACCCTTGTCAGACATGTTGCTACATGCCTGTAATCCCAGCACTTGAGAGGCAGAGGCAGGAGGATTGCTGTGAACTCGAGGCCAGCCTGGGCTACATAGTGAGTTCAAGGGTGACCTGAACTATATAGCCAGATCCTGTCTCAAAATATAAATAAATACCATTAATCCTATTTCATACCATATTTTGGCATTGAATGTCATCTGCCTTTAAACACTAAATTGTGTCTTCTTTTGATGTGGAAAAGATGGTACCTAAACATTTTTAACGGTTACCTATTGGTCATCACAGACTTCTTAAGATCAGTCTTAAGGAACATCTCATTGTGTGAACTATGCTTACATTATTTTTAGACAGTTCCTGCCCATGTTGATTTTAGTAGTAATATTTTAATCTCTCATTTTCAGTCATCTCTTATTTCCATGGTATAAGATTTTTAGACAGACTTTAGCAGCTTACTCTGTGCCCCACATTGTGAAGTAGAAATTCTCATTCAGAAGTCAGTATTAGGCAAGTCTTACACTTTCAACTTTCTAATGTACAAATTGAGATTTTTCTTCATCGTATGTTATAATTTTACCATTCTAGTTACATGTGTTTTAGGAAGGCAGTTGGTTTACCTAACACAATCAAAACTGTTATTTTTCAAGGATGCAAATAATAATCCTGTGATTTTTTTTTTTTAAGTAATTAGTAATGCTCCCTCTTAGGCATGTAAAGAATACTGTTATTACAGATTATCTCTTAACATTATTTAAATACATTGATAATTTCACTTCAGTTCCTGAGAAATAGCACACAGAGAGGTAAGTATTCTCAAGGGAACTTTATGATTTAAATCACCGTCAAACGCAATATATAGTCCCGGCATGGTAGCACAGGCCTGCAATCCCAGCATTTGGGAAGCTGAGACAGGAGGATTGCCATGAGTTTGAGGCCACCCTGGGCTGCATAGCAAGACTGTCTCAAGCCAAAAAAAAACCAAATCCAACGTATAAAATCAAATTGTCATAAAGAGACTTGAACGATATTATTAAATCTTAATTTAAAAGGGAAAATATATACATTAAAATATTGTTAATAGCCTATGTGAAAAGGCTTCCTCTGGTTTGAAAGAAGTAAGTTCTTATTAATACATGTCATTAGCAATTGAAATCAGCTGCTAGGCATGCATTGTAGCCATGGAGATGTGGACATGGGGGACTACCGCATAACATTTTGACACTTGAGTTGTTGATATTGTCAGGCTTGTTAAGACTTACTTAGTGGGGCTAACAGAAGTTCCTAGTAGTGTGAGAATTTCGGTATCTTGGTCAAGTCTGCCCAAGGAAAAGGAGGGCTAGATAAGATTGTGCCTAGAGGCACAGGATTATTGATTGGTTGAGCGAATCAGGATAAAATGAGAAACTACTGACAAGCCAAATTGTCAGTGTAGAGATTTAGAAGAAAATTTAATCATAATAATAATGTATTATTGGATTATCAATTTATAGGTTGTGAAACACTTTCATATTTTCATATCATTTCATATTTTTAATCACCTCAATGCTATGGTTCATTTTCATCCAATTTTATAGATGAGTGAAGTGAAATTTAATGCAGGTTACTATAAGTAAACATAAGTGACATAAACGTTCTTTGAACCAAGTAGGTTGCTGAAAGAACCTCTTAATGACAGAAAATTTCCAGTCATATACAGGAACAAGCTGCTCCACTTTCAACTCTTGATGAACTAATATTCTGATCCTGAATGTTGTCCTACTTCACTTCTCATTCACTGACATCACAGATTGTTGAATTAAATCTAAAAAGAGGACAGGACAGTCGTTTGCTTTTAGCAAGAACTAGTCGCTGGAGCAAGGGAAGAGCAAGGGAAATGTTCAGAATGTTATTAAGTGAGAATTTTAAGTGTCAGGTTAGGGACTTTGATTGCTTTTTGATTAGGTTTCTCCATACTAGTTCTTACAGTTCTTAGAAAGGTGAGTAAACTGGAGAATCTCTTCAGCCAACTCTTAATACTCAGAATTCTGTCATGGAAAACTGGAACCCAGACTTTATAATACAGAAGGGCTTTGGAATTTGGCCCAAATTGTCTGAAAAGGACTTAGTACTGCTTTTGAAAAGTGGGATAATGTAACAAGAGTGTTTACTGTTTTTTTAATAAAGCTTACATTTGAATAATATTTTTGCTGTTCTTTTTTTGTAGTTGACCACAGTCTTATAAATTAAGCCAAAGACTGTTACTATCTTTAGTTTTGAGAGGACTAAATCAAGGACTCTTTGATGTAGCTAACAATTACTTTTAGGGTTATTCTATAAACTGTCTCTAAATTTTATTTGAAGATTTTTTTTTTTTTTTTT